CTGTCGGGGCTGCCCGGGAGGCACCGGCAGCGCGGGACCGGCTGGACGCACCAGGCGATAAGAAGAAAAATAATTCTTAGAGGAAAAGCGTGTTTATATGTGGGTTATATCAGCGGGAGCCGCTCCCCGCCGCCGGGAGAGCCCCGGGAAAGGCTGAGCCCGGTCCGGTCCCCCCTCTCCGTGATGCCCGGGGGAGCCGGGGCCGGGCCGTGATCCCCGGGGGCTGCCCCGCAGCGGGGACGGGGGGGGGCGAAGCTGCGGGAAGCGGGGAACGGGGAGGAAAGCGCGGGAGGTGCCAGGAGCCGGGGTCCCGGGAGACCCCCCCCGCCCCGGGGGGAAGCAGATGCTCGGGAACGCTCGGGCCGGTGTCACGGCCGCTCTGGAGCCAAGAGCCTCCGGTGGCCTCGGCGCATCCCGCACCCCCCTGGAAACCGGCCGCAGCCCGGGCAGGGAGCGGTGCCTCGCCGCCCGCCACCCACCGAGTGACCGGACCCCGCACTCCCCGGCCAGCACCGACCCTCCGCCGCCGCCGGGTCCGGTAGCCCAGGCAGGGGAGCGGGTGGCCCTGCCGCAGCCCCGGGGCTGTCGCGGTGACGGCCCCAGCGCAGCGGTGGGTGGAGAGGGGACGGGGGGGAACGGTGAGCCCGGGGGTGCGATGCACACACGGGCACCGGTGGCAGTACCGGGACCGGGGCACGTTTGTGGCGAAGCCACACCAGGTAACCCCATCCTCGGGAGGGCAGAGAGACCCACCGCCGTGCCACCAGCCCCACGGAAAGGACTCGCTCGGCTCTTCCCTCCCCCGAAGGATGCTGGCATTCCTCCTGCCTGCCGGGGTGGCCACCGGGCTGGCAACGGGGACCGGGTGGCCACCGGGATGGCAGCGGGGACCGGGGTGGCGTGGGCCGGGGGGGCTTTGCTGGGCAGGAAGCTTTCTTGACTCCAGGTCTTTGCTTAATGGAGGAGGCTTGAGGTTTCCAGGTGTACGGCCGTTATCTTGGTTTTAGCACTCTCCGGTTGGGCCCCGTCTCCAGGTCCGGTGCGGGAAGGCTCCGGGCGCAGCCAGCGGCAGGAATGCTCTCCGAGGGTGATTTGAAAAGTGTAAGAAAAACAGTCCCGTGTGTTCCTAAGGTTTCTGGGTGTGCTAAAACTAAAATAGAAAATACACCTTGTCCAAGCAGGCAGGGAGGGGATCGGCGTCGGCTCTGCAAGGGTAGTAAAAAGATGCATTTGTGTACACTTCCCCTGGGCACCAGGGCGGAGAGAGATCTCGAAATGGGGATGATATTCCGTGTTCAGCCGTCGTCCGCAACCCTTCCGCGCTGCAGCCTGTCCTACTCGCTGTCACTCTTGTCCACCAGTACCGCGTCGGACTCCTCCGTGATCTCCAGCAGCGTCTGCATCTCAGGGCTCTCCCCACGCAGCAGATCCGAATTCTCTCCCTCCTCTCCACCCACCTCCACCAGCTCCGTAGCTTTCACTTCCACCTCGCCCTCTCTTATCTTCTTGACGTGGAAAGTGAAGGGTGGCACTTTGTAGACGGCTGTCTTGGACCTGGCGTAGATGGTGTGGTCAGGGGTGAAAGACTTCCTCAGCTTGTCCCGAGAGGTCTTCATCTTCTCCCTCCTTTCGTTAGTCACAATCTTGGTGCCCAGTTTGTTCATCCTCTTCTCCAGGTTGTGGCGGGTCTTCTCCAAGTTGTGGCGGGTCTTCTCCAAGTTTTCCTTGGTCTTTAGCTTAGTCTTCTCCATCTTCTCCTTTGAGAATGCCTTCTTAAAGTCATCCACTCTTTTCATGCCGCTTCTTTTGATGCGCTCTGCCCGTGACTCTTCGATAATCTCTTCAATCTCCACCTCTTCATCCGAGGAGAGCTGGACGTGGTCCTCCTCCGCATGGTCCTCGCCCGCGGGCACCTCCTCGCCCTCACCTTCCTTCTCCACCTTTTCGCCCTCCTTCAGAGACTTGCTGATGCTCAGTTTTGACGGGAGCTTCACTTCATCCTGCAAGACACAGAGTGGAGCCAGTGAGACAGACAGACAGACACACAGACACACACACACTCCCACAGCCCCCAACCAGCACTTCAGGAAGAGGCCAGCGCTGAAACTGGAGACTTTTCCCTTTCTCCTGTGTCCCTGTCACAATCCCATCCCCTCCAGTTTCATCTTCATCTTAGGGCCTGGCCACAGCACGTCCCTGCTCCTGGCCCCGCATCCTGCCATGGAGAGGCTCAGGGTGACGTGGTGCCCCTTTGCTCCCCAGTGCCTGCCCACAGCCCTTCTCCTCCCCACCAGCCCTCCCGGGGGTGGTCTTCTCTTGCTGAGACCACTGGCCACCCCCAGCTCTCTGGCCTGGCCAGGGTCTGGCCGGTGGTGGCCCCAGGCACGGCGTGGTGCTGAGCTGCAGATGGCAGCACAGTCCGAAGCTGGGAGTCCGGCCACGGCACCGCTGGCCTCACCGACCCCGGGCTGCACTTGGACTTTCCCAAGGCCTTGCAGGATCCAGATGTGGGGCTGGGACATCTCTTGGGATGCAGGAGGCCACCCTGTTTTTCCCATTTCTCCACTGGGGACTAAGGGAATTTGCCCGAGCCCGTATCCAAAGGCGGCCTCGACTCGCCCAGCTGGGGCTACGAGGTTACGCTGTCCCCCCCCCCGGGGACTGGAGGTGAGTTCATTCAGCTTCTCCACTCTCCCGGGTCAGCCAAGTTGCTGATCCCGGAGGCAGAGGACAAGTGTGTGCCCGGGCGAGGGGCAGAGCTCTGGAGTGGGGTTGGTTTTCAGCTGAGCAGCACATAGTGTGCGTCCCTGCCGCAATGAATCACCCCTCCCTCCCCAGGACAGGCTGGAAATAGCCCATCACTGCACGCAGTGCCACAGCTGTGGGGCTGCAGCCCACGGCTCGGGGATTCACAGAATCACCGAATCTTCTGGGTTGGAAGGGACCTTAAAGATCATCTTGTCCAACCGTCAACCTCACTTTGACAAAAATAAACACCCACACAACAAACAAGGAGCATCATCACTAAACCAGACCTCCCAGCACTACATCAACCCGTCTTTTGAACACCTCCAGGGATGGGGCCTCAACCACCTCCCTGGGCAGCCCATTCCAATGGCTGAGAACCCTTTCAGTGAAAAAATTTTTCCTAATTTCCAGCCTGAACCTCCCCTGGCGCAACTTGAGGCCATTTCCTCTCGTCCTGTCGCCTGTGACTTGAGAAAAGAGACCGACCCCCATCTCTCTACTCCCTCCTTTCAGGGAGTTGGAGAGAGCAATAAGGTCTCCCCTCAGCCTCCTCTTCTCCAGGCTGAACACCCCCAGCTCCCTCAGCCTCTCCTCATAAGACTTATTCTCCAGATCCCTCACCATCTTTGTCGCCCTTCTCTGGACCCGCTCCAGCACCTCAATGTCTTTTTTATGGTAGGGGGCCCAAAACTGGACACAGTACTCAAGGTGAGGCCTCACCAGTGCCGAGTACAGGGGGACAATCACCTTTCAGGCCCTACTCTCTCCAGAGCTGGGCAGGAGCAGCGTGGAGCCGCTGAGATGAGCTGTGTCAGGCAGCAGCAGCACAAGGCAGCGTGGAACGGGCACACAGAGAGCAGAGCTGCTGGATGAGGTTTGGGGAAAGGACAGACAGTGCCATTCCCAGCCCTTGGGAGCAAGGATGGGGATCCCAGTCCAACACTGGTCGGAGCAGGGCCCAAGAAAATCAAGGGGCAGACCCCGGGGAACCGACATGTGGCTCTGGTGACCAAGATGACGGCCACCATCGTGGCTCTGACCTGAGCCCCCGCACAAAGGCAGGACAGGACAGCCCCTCTGCAGACATTGAGCTGCTTGACTCGGCCAGATACACTGTCCCCAGCTCTTCCTCCCCTTTACACCGCTTGAGAACTGGTACAAGCTCATTAAATAGGTGACTCCAGCACAGCTTCGCCTGGAAAAGCGTTGTGCTCGATGGCAAGTCAGCTCTGCAGAGCACAGGGCTCAGTGAAGGTGACACGGGCTGCAGTGGCTGTTTTCACCACTGGCCAGGGCAGGGGTTTTGTGCTGGGTTTTATCCAGAGCAGAGACCTGCACTGGACAAAGCTCTTCACCCTCTGGGTCCCAGCTCAGCTCCCAAATACTTTCTGGAGTTTCAGGAGAGGTGGCCAACACGTGTTTTCTTCATTTGATGAGCCACACCAGGAGAAAACAATACACACGCTCTCCAGAGGACCGGGTCGGTCCAGAACAACCCCCCTTGCTGGGAAGACTGGGATCCTGTTCTCCACAACAACACCTGCTGGAGCAATCCCAGAGAGTCCCGGGGACCCTGCCCCGCTGAGCTGGGAACATCAGGAACTCCGGCTGCTTCCTTCCCTCCAGTCAACACAATGAGCCAGAACAAAGGCATTCCCCCCTCGCCTGGCACGACTGTCACTGGAAACGGGCCATATCCTGCAAACTCAGATACTTATCAGCCCCTCCTGAGCCCCAGAACATGTGTGTGCAGAAAGAAACACCGCCTCAAAAACTCCACATAAATAACCTCCTTCCCTCGTCTTGCACCAGCAAATCCATCTTCTGGCTGAATTTTCTGATGAGGCTGAATGTGCTGCAGCAGCAACACACCCATCCGCCCCAGGGAGCGTCCTGCTGCTCTTTCCTCACAGCCGAGAGGACGTGGGGGCAGCGGGTCCCGGGACGTGGGGAGCTGGGGCAGCCCTGTGAAGGTGAGAGTGTGGGTCTCTAATTTCAGTGCATTTCACTGAATTTTAGAGTTGGAAGGGACCATAGAGATCATCTAGTCCAACTCCCCTGCTGAAGCAGGATTGCCTAGAGCTACAGCATGTTACTCAGGAGCATCCAGGTGGGTCTTCAAAATCTCCAAGGAAGGGGACTCCACACCCTCCCTGGGCAGCCTGTTCCAGGGCTCTGCCACCCTCACTGGGAAGAAGTTTCTCCTCATATTTGAGTGGAACCTCTTCTGTTCCAACTTGTGCCCGTTGCCCCTCGTCCTCTCACTGGGAACCACTGACAAGAGTCTGGCTCCCTCCTCCTTCAACCCTCCCTTGAGATATTTGTAGGCATTGATAAGGTCTCCCCTCAGCCTTCTCCTCTCCAGACTAAAGAGTCCCAGCTCTCTCAGTCTCTCCTCATAAGGGAGATGCTCCAATCCTTGAATCATCTTTGTTGCCCTTCGCTGGACTCTTTCTAGTAGTTCCCTGTCCCTCTTGAACTGGGGAGCCCTGACTCCTAATCCTGAGAGCACCATCACCCGCCTGCTTGACCCCGACTCCCCCAGACGGAGGGTCTGTGGGTCACGGCCAGCCCCACGCTGCTGCTGTGCCCCCCACTGCTGCTGTGCCCCCCACGCCATCCCCACAGGCACCGTCCCAGCCCAGCACCGCTCACGGCCCCCAGACTCTGCTCAGGCCTCCCTCAGGAGGCACCGTGGGGCTGGAACAAGGAGGCTCAGATGGACCCGTCCATTCCTGTACGTGACACCCACAACCCCAGCCTCTCCCCTCGAGACTCCTTCCGAGAGCTTTTCTCCAGCTGCGCTTGGAAAACCCTTTGCAGCCCTCACCCGGCCCCTTCCCCGCAGGGTGTACTGGCCACAGGGCTCTCGAGCTGGCCCAGGGCCACCACATGGTGCATCTCTCTCTCTCCTCCGCCTGCTGTAATTCCTGCATTTTTTCCTTCTGACTCCTCTTCAATGGGAATGCTTATCTGGAGCTGCCGATAACCAGCTGGGGGACAGCTGGGGGGGATTTTCGGCACTGTGTGCCCTGGGTCACTCTCCTGCCCACCTGCATCCCGGGAACATTCCCTCTGGATCAGGAGCTTGGGCTGCACAGGACAGTGGGGGCGAGAGCAACTGGCAGCTCTGGCACAGCCCAACGGGGGCGAGTCCGTTCAGCCGAGCATCCCTCGTGTGCAGCTCCCCACGCGTGCCCAGGCACTGCCCAAGTGCCACCAAGGGTCCCCTCCTCCCCACAGGGAGGTGTTTCTCCCATGGGGAAGGGGAGCTGCTGCCTGGCAGGGGCAGAAGGTGCCATAGAGGACACTGGGACCTCGCTGGAATGATCAAGAACCACCCCGGGTCTCGGGATGGCTGTTTTACTGGGAAAACACTGACCCTTGAAGTGGGCAGGTCCAAAAAACCCTGGCTCTTGGCATCGCTGCCCGTTGGGGTGTTCAAACCCTGGCTCCCAGTTGACAGACAGAAACCAGTCCTGTTCTCTGAGCCAGCCCCAGTCCAGCTGGCACAAAGACAGCGAGTAAACAACAATTCTCAGAAGATTTTTATACCAGAAGACTCTTGCCCTGCTCCGTGCCCAAAGCAGAGCTGCCCCCAGCAGAAGGAGCTCCCTGGGGGAAGCTCCCTCCATGGGCAGAGCCCGGGGGTGCCCGGGGGGGTCCTGGCACCCGCACCCAGCGCAGCCAGGTACCAGCTGACGGGTGCTGGGCTGCTCCCTGTCCCTCCTGCTCCAAACAATTCGGAGCTGGGGCAGCCCAGCCTCTGCCTTGCCCACTAAGTGTGCTTTCATCTGGCGTTGTTTTCCAGCCCCGAGTTCCCCCGCAGTGAGTCACGCAGGACGCCCCATGGCCATGGACACACCGCCCCGTTGCTACAACACCCGTAAACACTTCCCCTGAGCTATAAAAGGCCAATGGGACACAGAGCAGGGACACATTCCCAGCCTCCCAGAGCTCTTCAGGCCACTGCAGAATCACCAGCAAAGCCAAGAACCTTCCCAAAAGGCTCCTGGATCGCTCTTGGAGAGGCTCTTATTGTCAGTCAGCGCGTAGAAAACAGTCCCAGAACTCCCAGCCACTCCAGTCTGCAGGTTTAATGGGGGATTTTTCACATGCGCATGCTAATCACATCTGTAATTCATTTGGAGGGGTTATTTTTCCACAACTGCAAGAGCAGGAAGAGTTGAGTTTGGCTGACATGCACCGTAACATGCAGAACACGACCAGCTCACGTCCCCAGCTCTGCTAT